TGTTTGCGATGCGATCCACTTTACGAAGTATTTGACATGAAAAACAGAACTCATGCACACTTTTCTTAGCGTGACTAGAGACACTCGTATGCAATGCTCGTCATGCAACCTTTTTTTTTGACATGTTTGGTGCGACATACATAACTCATGCATGTTTTCTTAGTGTGGTGAGAAGAAATTGTATTTAACGCTCACAACACAACAATGAAATGCTTGTTTTGTAAAGTTTGTCTACAGGTATCACATGCATGCCTTTCTTAGTGTAGTGAGTTTCAAACATTTCGGTCATAGTGTCTCACAACATCGACCAAGCAAGCCTTTATTGGTGTGGTAGGTAGGTTTTGTCTCCCGATGAAGCCCCCTACCGAAACACGACATCAGGAGGCTGCCAAAATTTTGACTTACTAGGAATTAAAATAAAACTTAAGCTTAAAACATGATTTACATAAAGTTTAAATATAACTTAATTTATGCCTAATCAAGCATTTAATAAGTTCGAACAAACATGAAATTAACTAAAGGAGCAAAATACTAAAACACGAGATAAATAATGTTTAAAAAAAGGAAGGGAGATAACTTTCTTGTAAGACTTAAAGCTCTAACCACAAAAAACAGAAGAAGCCTCCGTGCTCCTAAAAGTTTTAAGGCATGCAATAAACTAAGCCATAACCATCTATTTGTAGAAGAAGAAGTATAGCTCTCGGGCTTGCTTGATTAAAAATCACATGCAAATAAATTTTGCTGCACAAATTAAAAGCCAAAACTTTAATGCACATGACCAAAATTCATTGCCCAAATTAAATGCAGAAGCTTTAATGCATATAAATTCAAACTTCGCCATCGGATTCGCAACCCAGAATACATGAGCAACCATAAGACAACGGAAAGCTTAAGATAAAAAGTAATTTTTACCCAAATCACCTTCGCACACAGTTGGCCGCTTAGCCACTTGCCTTAATGTCTTATCAAGACATTTTTATCAAATCATATCAAAGAATCATTCTAATGGACTAAAAACTCTTCCAAATAAACAAATTTCTCTTTTTAAAAAAATGCATAATTAGTTGCATGGGCATGCAAGGAGAACGGAAAAATTATTTCAAAACTTTTCAAACACTCATCCAATAAGCTTGGAAAATGTTTTTATGACAAACCTTTTAGAGTAAATAAATAACCTTGATGTTGAAGAAAATAACTTTCTTAAATTTTCCGAAGATTTTTTGATACTCTAAGCTCTCTTTTGTTTTCTATATTTCACATCTAACCACTTGAGCTTTTCTTACAAAGCCTAATGACAAGGAAGCATCCCGCAAAAAGCCGATCCTGCAATCCCGATCACGCTAATTCTGCAATACAATAAAATCATTGCTCCTGGGATGCAGGTTCAGACATGAGGAGGTGTTGACTTTCAATATTCAACATGTTTTTTATTTCTTTTGCATTTCTCTATTTCTAATTAGATTATTTTCTACGAAGGAACTATTTATATCCTGCTATATTTTTTTCCTATTTTTTCGCATGTTTGCTTTGAGTTGAGTATTTTACAGATGGCAATCTCTGAGTTTTGTTTTATGAGTATTGAATCATCTTTCTTTTGTAAGAGTTTTGTCTATAACTTGCTCAAAATTAAGTGGTGCAAACTCCTCGTTGCCCTTTGTTGTTTCGCCATATGTGGGCTCCGAAAATTCCATCAGCCTCGAGACTCTATTTGTTTCTTGAGAGAGCTTTAAGGGTCAAATTATTAGAAGGCAACTTGGATTGTAAATAAAACACCAGCCAAAAATTTAGCCCTCATTTTGCAAGGAGTTATTGATATGGGGTTTGAGGATTCATATAGACGCAAACCCCTATGGTTAATTACTCATCCTGATAACAGAAAAACACTTTCGATTAAGGCTAGTCATTTAACACTGAATAATCAGTGTATAATAGCAACAAAAATATATTTTAAATTGTAAAATTTATCACTTGGAGCTTAAAAAGGACGGTGGGAGAAATGATGACGAACCCGATCAAGATCACATGGTTCTATAATTCAGGTCATCGTGGTTTCTGATCTACATAGTCAAAGAAGGTAGTAGACCCAACTTAACTGAAAGATCCTTATCAGCAACCATGGATTGCATCATCTAAGCAGTCCTTAAAAATCTGGAGTGAATGTTTGCTTAATGGGATAAATTTAAGCCAATATTAGCTAACATAAAGTTTTTTGCCAAAAAGATGTATCCTTATAGTTCACAACTCAAAGGACAGAAAGTTGTTGGGGACATGCAGGCTGCAACCGTAACCACAATATATGGTGACATTTGACGACAACCACCCGATCGGAGGGCTCTGGTGATAACTGTTATTTAGTAGTGCCTTTGAGCCAAATCACGCAGACAAAGAACTCGAACCACGTCATTACTGACGTGAAATTACTTTGAGTGTGACATAAACTCTTTCATGAGCTGAAGTTAATCAATAGTTTGTCACTCTTGACAAACTATTGCGGAGGGATGATGGAGTTTGCCAAAAGTTTTAAAGCGATTAATTTTAACTTGAGTGTTGATTTAGTTTGAATGTTGGTTTGAAATTAAATCCTCCGATTGAGATTTGCAATCAACAAGACCATCATTGGGGATTTATACATTTGAAACATTTATGTTTAAAATTTATTTGAAATTTGACACTTGAATATACTTAAAATGCTAGTCTTGTTAACTCCAGTCATTCCGAGGAAAAAGACCAGACAAGGTAATTTGGCCTTGCAAATTCTTATATTAGTGATTTAGACATTTATTAAATCTTACTACATTCATCATCTCCATTCCTAATAAAAATGAATGGATTAGTTGGGTGGGACTTACAACCATATCCTCTATATAAGGAGGCCCTATTTATTGATTTTAAAATATGAACTATTTGAGTGCAAGTTTGGCTTTAACTGCATAACATTCTAAGCTATTCGTTAAAGCATTTAGTGTTTCAGCTTGGAGCCCATGTGGGTGTATTTGTTAAAGTGCATACATATTGATGCCCATGAATTTTGACACTTATAAGATGCGATTATATAATTTATTTTCTTGTAACGCATAATTTGATATTTTGACACAAATACATGATTTGGACATTTGTTAAAGCTTACTAGACTTGTTAACTCCAGCCCTAATAAAGAGAAGGATCAGATTAGTTGTGTGAGACCTACAACTATGTCCTCTAGATAGGGAGGCCCTATTGATTAATTTTAAAAAATGAACTATTTGAGTGCAATTTTGGCTTTTAACACATGTAATATTCCTAATCTATTCGTTAAAGCATTTGATGTTATAATTGGAGCCCATGCGTGTCTATTTTGTTATGGTGCATACATCTTGATGCCTTTGCTTAATGTAATTGCATGAATTTTGACACACTTAGAAGATGCAATTACATAATTTGTTTTCTTGGAACGTATAATTTCATATTTTGACACGAATACATGAATTATCAAGTAATTACAAGTCTTTAGTGATAGCACATTGAAGTTGAAAAATATCTCAAAATGATATTGTATGTCTCAAAAATCATCTCAATTTGATAGAAGAAATTACATACACACACTATCTCGAGACTTATAGTGAAATTACACAATGTTTTTTCTATATTTTGAGGATATTAGAGCTTTTGGAATACATGTAAAACCTCATTTTTGAGCTCTTAAGAACCGTCTTCTATTCGCTAGCTGAAGCTGCTTTAGCTACACCTAACAAAGCAATAACAAGGAATGAGCCACCAAAGGGAAAAACCACTTGCATGTCGTGGGCACTCATTTCTAATGCCATGATTACAGAACTTTACAAATTGGGTTACGTTTCACTTTTTTGGAAATTCAGCTTATATCAAGTTAAAATGCCTTAAGAAACACCGAAGAAATGGAAAAGACCAATGGGAAACGTCACTCAAGGTTGATGATAAATTGTTTTATTCTTCATCATTTTTTTTTTCTATCTGTTTTCAATAAACTAAATAGCTTACCCCAGGATATTCAAGGACTCGATAGCTACTGGTAACACAACCACCATAAAATCATATAATGGTTCAATATCCACAGCCTGTTTCAGCATGCCGTTGTCCTACATTAATCTTTAGTTTCATACATCATTTTACATCAACCGTATCAACAAGGTCCCTTATTTTGCAACTGTCTGGTAGCGTATTTAATAATTTCTTTAAATCCGGGTTTACTAAATCCTGCCAAAGTCAGGATTTAGAAAATCTGGAATTTAAGGCAAAACTGAGGAAGAAATTTAGAAGAAACTAAATTTACTAAATCCAATATTTAAAAGTTGCCATTTTCTGTCCAACTTAAATCCGTTGCTAGACAGTCTCTCCCATCAATTCAAAGTAAGAAGAGTTGTATGCAATATATCCCTATTAGCAAGAGGTGATTACTGTGATTTGAACTAGAGGCCTCACGATGAGGAAGCTTAACAAATATTGCTTTGGACTTGCCTTTGCCTTCCTAAAAAGTGAAAATCTATCCTTAACAACTATAGATTCTGATAGTCATTTAGGTTTTTTGGAATGAAAAATTCAATTGAGTATAAAATATTAAAAACACGTTGTTTTAATCTTGATCAACCGTGGACCAAACATGAATTTACTCCGTTCACCACCTTAAACAAAATTAAACGATCTCTTTAAATTATTTGCAATCCTTTGTAAAAAAAAAGAATATATATCCACAAGGCTGCCATATATGGCACTTTGCACTTAACCGTGTGCATATATTGTCCATTTGAATGAAAACTATGTTATCACATATTCAAAATAATGCTTAAACGTTACAAGAAGTCTAATCCAGCTTCAAAAAGGAGAAATTACCAGCACTGATGAAGTTTTTCATCATTCCAAACTCCTCTAGGACTGATTTACTACGTTTATGATTGCAAAATTATTATTAAACGTTAAAAGTTCCCATAATCGTTTATAAGAAATAAGATGCATTTTCATATTTCAAAGGCGATATAAATAGTGACCTGGAATAGGAGCTACATCATTTCCTTGATGAAGAATCCAGGCCAGAGCAAGCTGAGAGGGTTTACACTGATGCTTCAATGCTATCTTCTCTAGCCTTGCGTATAAAACCTTATTTTTTTCCAAGTTGTCCCCAAAGAACCTTGGATGTGAAACCTAGCAATATAGGGAAGTAAAATGAATGTAAGAATAGCTTGAGTTAAAAAGTTCAGCATCTGAGGTCATATTGAAGTTAAGAATCCCCTGAAAACATAAAGGATAAAATCTATGAAAGCAAATTATTATACCAAGAAACTGTTCGCAGGAATCACAATAGCTCTCCCACCAAAAAACCCACGGCCAAGAGGACTGTAAGGAACAATCCCTATGCCAAGTTCCCTGCTTGTAAAACAACCAATATTGATCTGAACTAAGCAATTCATCAAATTGAAAGTTTATGTGGAGATAAGATAGGTCCAAATAAAAAATAAATAGACAAGGGCAACGGGAAAAAAAAATCCATGATAAAAATATGGTATTATTTTATATATTTGAAGCCTAGGCTGATAGTGTTGAGAAAAGGGCGAAAAAAAAAAAGAATCGACACAAAATCGGAAGAACACAGAGATTTAACGAGGTTCGGCAACGATGCCTACATCATCGGGAGTGGAGCGGCAGCTTCATTTTCCAATTCCAGAAAAGAGTACAAGCTACATAATAGAATATAGAATAGTCTAGGGTTACAAACAGACCTATATATAACCCTAGATAAATCCCTAGAGTACAATATGTAATTCCCAAATTATCAATGTACCATACCACGGGGCATTTCCCTAACACTCCTAACCCACATAATGAAACTTCCCCGATTTGGACAGATTCTTCTGCTCTGTTTCGCTTTGTTCCAACATCTGTCCCTTATATGGTATATTAGTCATACCTAATAAATCTCCACCTTGGCGAATATACAGCCCCTTAGGAGAAATACATCATGGAGTTTCTTATACACTGAAAGTGGGTTGGGTCACCATGTTTCTCTAGCAACTGCAAACTTTCAATAAGTCCAAGCAATGCAAGAACTTGTTGATAGTAACTGGCTTGGTCAACATATCAGCTGCATTTTCATCAGTATGAATCTTATGCAATAATATCTCACGAAAAGCAATCAATTCTCTGATCTTGTGATACCTGACATCAATGTGCTTTGTTCTCGCATGATACTTCTGGTTCTTAGCTAGATAAATAGCACTATGACTGTCACAATACAACTGACTCCACCTTGCTCAACGCTCAGTTCCTTTACTAGCCCAGCAAGCCACAAGACTTATTTTGCAGCTTCAGCTATTGTCATGTACTCAGCTTCAGTTGTAGATAATAACACAATAGACTGAATTGTTGATTTCCAACATATAGGCCCTCCACCAAGGGTAAACACATACCCAGTTATAAACCTTTTGTCATTCAAATGACATGCATAGTCTGAATCAACGTACCCCACAACTGAAGGATCATCGCTGCTGATGAGAAGTGCACAAGAAACCAAGTCTTTATAAACCAATCTGCTAAGAGACCTTATATTGGTGTGTCTATGTATATCTCTGACTAGATTATAATTTTGCAGATCATTGCAGATCATCTGAAGATCATCTGAAATGGAATCACCAGGTGTTGGATTTGAACCTTCAACTCTCTCAGTTGTTTCTGGATGTTGTTCTAAATTCATCTGTACTGCATCTGAACTAGAAATGTTCCATTACACCTTGACTTGATTCTGCTGCAACATAGACTGTTAACAAAAAACTGCATCTCTACTAATCACCATCTTTTTTACAATCGAATCCCAGAACTTGTATCATTTCACACATTTCTTGTAGCCCAGAAAGATGCACTTCTTGAATTTTGCATCAAATTTTGATCTTTCATTTTCAGGTACATGCATATAAGCAAGACAACCAAAAATTCGTAAATGATCAAAATTAACTGGATTACCTGTCCATACCTCTTCTGCAACCTTGTCACCTGATGATGTTCGAGGTGATCTATTGATGAGATAACATGTCATATTCACAGCCTCTGCATAGAAACTTTTAGGAAGCTCTACATTCAGTCTCAAACATCTTGCCCTTTTAATTAGGACATGTTCATCCTTTCTGTCACATCATTCTGCTGTAGCGTCTTGCGCACAGAAAAATGTCTCTGAATCTCATGCTCCTCACAGAACTTCTGAAACTGTGAATCTGTGTATTCAGTGTCATTATCAGACCTCAAATACTTAATATTTGTGTTAGATTTGGTTCTTGACCTCAGTTTTCCACAACTTTCCACAGCTTGAATTTAGAGAAAACTTCAGATTTCTACTTCAAGAAATACACTCAAACTTTCTTGGAGAAATCATCAATAAATGTAACGAAATACTGAGATCCTCCCAATGACAATTCTCTGGTAGGGCGTCATACATCGGAATGCACATAATCAAGAATCCCTTCAGTTTTGTGTTTTCCAGTCATAAAGCTAACTCTAGTATGTTTTTCAAGAACACGAAACTCACAAAGATCGAGCTTGCAGCTTTTAACATCATGCAACAAGTTTCTTCTATGCAATTCCGTCATCTCACGTTCACTAAGATAACCCAAACGCATATGTCATAGCTTTGTACTATCATCATCTGACTCCCGAGAATAAACTCCACTTACAACTGTACTCCCCAACAATTTGTAGATATTGTCTGCAGTTAGCTTTCATTTCATCACAGTCGGTGCACTTTTAACAATTCTGATGGTTTCTCTATCCTCATATGCCTTAGAAATATAACAATTTCTATGTAAAGTGCCAATGAAAATCAAATTCTTCTTCAGATCTGAAATATGTCTAACATCACATAATTTTCTAACAGTGTCATCATACATCTGAATTCTGACTTCACCAATACCAACAATATTGCAACATCTATCATTACCTAAATAAACTGAGCCAAAATTAGTTGACTTGTATGAAGTAAATCACTCTCTGTTAGGTGTTATGTGATAAGAGCACTCTGAATCAAGAATTCATGCATCCTTGAGCTGAGTTAATGAAACTGAGAGCATATCGCCATCACTGCAATCTGAATTTTCATTCTGCACAACATTTACAGACTTCGATGAAGTATCACCTTTCTCCCCAGTCTGCTTCTTCAGCTTTGGACAATCTCTCTTCATATGACCTGGCTCCTTTTGACTTTGATCTGAAATTTCGCCTTCCAGAATCTCCCTTCTCTTTCTTCCTTCCACAATTCTGATTACCCTTAACATATAAACTGTCACCATGAGATTTTTCTCCTGCACTCTGGTTCTTAACATATAAACTGTCACCATGAGAGTTTTCTTCTGCACTCTGGTTCCGCTGGTTGTAAGCTAACAATGTTACAGTAATCTCATCAACTTTGAAAGTTTCTTTCTCATATGTCAGAATAGTCACCGGATGTTCATAAGAAGAATACAATGAACACAAAAAAATCATTGTTCGGTCTTCATCATCAATACTTACATCAAGTCGTGATAAATCTGTGATTATTTGATTGAAGTCATTAACATGTTGCGCCAGATCAGAACCTTCTTGCATCTTCAGCCCATACAACTTTTGCTTCAGATACAATTTATTCGTCAGAGATTTAGACATAAATTAAGTTTCCAATTTCTTCCAAACATCCCCTGGAGATTTTAGATTCATCACGTGATACTAATCTCATCTGTCAGGCACAAGCGTATAGTTGTTGTCGCTCGTTGCAATTCTTCACAATCTTCATCCTCCATGACATCCAGTTTCGTTGCCCGCAAAGCTTTCAAAATTCTTTGTTGCGCCAACAGATCTTTTACCCTTGTTTGCCATAATCCGAAGTTACCAGTTCCATCGAACTTCACCACCTTAAATTTTGCACCAGAAATTGTCATTTGAAATTGATCATGCAACAAACTCTTTTGGATATTCCTCTGCAATTCCTTGCTCGGAATCTTTAAAAAAAAAGTATCAAAATGTTCCCTTAATTAATTTTTCTTAATTAAGTTTCATTTAATTAAATATTTTCCTTAATTAAATTTCGCAGAAAAGCAACAGAATCTTTCCGAAAAAGAATTAAAATATTTACTTAATTAAGTTTCTTTAATTAAGTTTCCTTCAATTAAGTATTTTTAATATTAAGTTTCTAAAAAAAGCAACAGAATCTTTCTAAAAAATGATTGAAATATTCTCTTAATTAAGTTTTCTTATTTAAGTTTTCCTTAATTAAGTTTCCCAGAAAAACAATTTTAAGAAAATTTCCTTTCCTGATATTTCCTTTTTCGCATCACAGAAATTTCCTTTTTCCGCTTTTGTCTGCGTGCAGCAACAGGAATTTCCTTTTCCGTGACAATTCCTTAAAAAAGAATATTCCCTTCCAATTCTGCTCCCGCACTCCGCCGCCCGCTTGCCTTCCGCACTCGGAATTTCCTCTACGTCGCAGCTGAACTGCTCCCAACTGAAGCCCCTTCGCAAACGTGTCCCGTCTGCCGTGAATCCCTATGCATCGCGAATCCAAGATGCTGCAATTCGCCTCTCTGTCGCGATATTTTTCTTCCCAAGAACCTCGCTCTGATACCACTTGTTGAGAAATTAGGGCGAAAATTAGGGCGAATTAGGGCGAAGAAAAACAAGAATCGACACAAAACCAGAAGAACACAGAGATTTAACGAGGCTCGACAAAAATGCCTACGTCCTCGGGAGCAGAACGACCACTTTCTTTTCCAATTCCAGAAAACAGTACAAGCTACAGAATAGAATATAGAATAGTCTAGGGTTACAAACAGACTTATATATAACCCTATAGTACAATATGTAATTCTCAAATTACTCATGTACCGTACCGTGGGGCGTTTCCCCCACACCCCAACCCACATAACGAAACTCCCCCGATTTGGACAGATTCTTTCGCTTCACTTCGTTCCAGCATTTGTCCCTTATATGATATATGAGTCATACCTAACAGATAGAAATAAAATAATTGCAAGCAACAACCTGTGCAATGCAACAGGAGCTTTAACGGCAGCTAAGTGATATGAGCAGCGCAAGCACTCCCATTCCCTAAAAAAGAAACAAGAAAAAACAACATTTGATTCTACTATTACATATTCAGTAAAAACTCTTCACATACTGACGACATAAAGTTCCTCTAACTTGCCAATTTAAAACTATAAAAATAAAGTTGGAATCAAGCAGGCTTGTATCTTCCCAAATTGTTGAGATGCCATGATTTGGATGACTAAGAACACTTCAGTTAGTGGACAAGCCATACGTCTTCAAATTTATTAGCTAGCAACTGTTTCGGAGAAGCCCAACCGTTACAATTACGCATTGAAGACAAGGATAACGTAACTTAGCCTAAGTTA